TGTTCTACAAAACAACCTTATTGTCTTCAAAGTACTCTCCATTACACTTAATACATTTTGAAATCTGTGATTCCATTTTTGGAAACATTTTTCAAACTCGTCTTGTTTGGATGGCTGATAGCACCTCCCTCGTTTTTTCCTTCACCTATCCCATGTCATCAAATTGCTGTCCTTTCACACCCCTCTTCATCTGTAGAAACAAAAAGAAGTCACAAGGAGTGAGGTCTGGTGAGTAAGGTGCATGGGTCAAGAGAGGCATCCCGATTTTTGCCAAAAACTGGTGCACTGAGATGGCTGCATGAGCAGGTGCATTGTCATGATGGCAAAATCAGTCCACCATCCACCACAAATCAGGCCTTTTTTTTCACACACTGTTACACTATCTTTTCAGAACCTCTAAATAGAAAGCTTGATTAACAATCAGACCTGGTGGAACGAGCTCCAAATGCACTATGAGTTGACATTTTCATCTGTTTGGGAAGTTGATGGATGTCCACAATGAGGTTTGTCATCAATTAACATTTCACTTCTTTTAAAATAAGAAAACCACTCATACACTTAAGTTTTTCCCATAGTACTGTCATTGTAGGCTGTGTTCAACATCACAAAAGATTCTGTGGCATTTTTCCTGAGCAGGAAACAAAATTTCACAGCCACATACTGTTCTTTTAAATTGGTCATGACAAAAAACAAGGTTAGAGTGAACCTGCTTTTATGAAAAAATTCATGTGACCAGAGAGAACCTTTCCAGGCAACCCCACTGAGTGCACTAATTCAGAGTGAGTTGCTGGATGCTATCCTGGTGGGGAAAATGCATACTGTGAAAGCTCCGCCCAGTGGAGTTTTTTTCTGTTTGTTTGTTGTTGTTTTTTGTGAGTAGTCCTCCATCTTTTCCTCAACCTGCTCAGAGAAGAATTCTATTTGCTGGGGACAAGCTATTTTTTTATCTGCAGACAATGCTTAAGAGACCATTAGTCCTGAAAGAGCTAAGAGTTCTTGCTCACATCTTCCAAGGAGTCTCCAATACCAGTCTTTTTAGATACCCCGAAAGGTGGACCTCTCTTACTCTGAAAGCTCACACTAATGTGTACATTCAGAAATGATGCTTCCTTTGAGCAGGCAGGAATTACAAACTGGGAGTGTGAGAAGACTGAAGGGCACCAGCAATCTTGGAAGAGCGGAGGAAGGGAAAAAAGACTGAACTGCTTGTCTGGAAATTGATCTGCTCTGTTCACCTTCCTCGACTCACAGC